AGACTTGGGTTTGAGGTGACAAAGACAAGTGCTTTAGTTAAATTCTTAGGAAGCTGTTGAGAAATGCACCTGTTGGCTCACCTCCTACCCTCAACCACCCAAGGGTGATACGGGAAGGGAAGAGAAGCAAGGATATGGGGGAACAGGGGTGGGGGTGGGGAAATGCAGTCAAGAACATCCAGCCCTTAAAATTGACCTCTGGAGGCTGGGGGGATGGCTGGCTGATGGCTGTGAGGACTTGTTCTTACAGAGCACTGGTTGTTTCCCAGCACCCACATGGAGGCTCACAATCACCTTTAAACCCAGTCCCAGGGAATACAATGGCCTCCTCTGACTTCTAAGGGCCCTGGGCATGCAGGGTGCACATACATATGGATATGTAGGCAAAACACTCAGACACATAAAATAATAATTAAAGAAAATCTAAAGTAAAATTTAAAAATCCCCCTGGAGGCTGGAGAGATAGTTTATTTGTTAAGAGCAAAGAGGAAGGCCTTGGTGACATATGCCTTTAATCCCAGCACTTCGGAGACAGAGGTAGGTAGATCTCTGAGTTTGAGACCAGCCTGGTCTACACCATGATGTGTTTATAAAAAGACAAAGAGATAAAGAGAGTAAGTTCTGTGGGTGTGATACGGAGGAAGGGGATGTCTCAGCGGGCCCATGCCGAGGCATCTCTTCCCCCTGAGGGACCAGTCACACACCGGTATAGTATAGAATAGAGTTTATTCAAGGCATGGGGAGGGGAGCCAGGAGGGTAGTAGAGACAGAGAAAGGGAGGGGGGAGGGGGGAGGGGGAGAAAGTAGAGAAGTAGAGGCCAGCCATGACTACGTGGAGAGAGGGGGAAGGGAAGGAGGAAGGGGTGAGGAAACAGAGAGAAGCTAGAGGCAAGAGATCAAGATAGAAGAGGGGGCAAGCAGCCCCTTTTATAGTGGGCCAGGCCTACTTGGCTGTTGCCAGGTAACTGTGGGGAGGAGCATACCTAGCTGTTGCCAGGTAACTGTGGAGGTGGAGTTTAGACAGAATACTAATACACCGTGAGTTCCAGAACAGCCAGGGCTACACAGAGAAAGCCTGTCTTGAAAAAACAACAACCAACCTAACAACCAAAAGAAAGCACAAAGGACCTGAGTTGAATTCCTAGCACCCACATGACAGCTCATAACCATCCCCAGTCCCTCCACTGCCCTCTTCTGGTGTACAGAAGCACTGCACACATATAGGGCACACACATGCAGGCAAAACAACAAACAACCACATAACATAAAAATAAAGGTTAAACAATTTTAAAAATTTAAATTCTCTGATTTTTTTCTCAGTATTTAAAGTGAAATGTAAGGATATAAAAATTAAAACAACATCAAGAACAAAAATGAACAGTTTCCAAAATCTTGTTTGTCGAGAACAAGCCCAGGAATAAAAACTTGAACTAACTTCACTTCTTCCCCTCCCCTCTTTTTTTTTTTTTTTTTTTTTTTTAGTATATTGTTATCTCCCTCTTTTCCTTCTGAAAAATCTCATTTAACCCATGGACCATGAATATCAATCTTCTTGGGAATGAAGTCCTCTGGTTAGTAGCTAAGAGCCATTACATTATAGTCCCAGCACTGACAGCTGGGCCTGGAACACATTAGCCACTAAGCCTGTCTTCTTGCAGTCTCCATACCTGTGAAAGCTATTTGTATCCTGTCACAAGGTACTCACCTGTGAGGGATGAAGAACTTAACTGTTCGGCTTGTGTCAAAAGGTCAGGAGATGTTACAGTAGCATAGATTCGTTCCATTCCCCCATCCCCCTGGTCCTGGAAAAATGTTGCAATAGCAATTGTATCTTTTGGGGAATGTGTGTTGGGGGGGGTGTGCCTACCATGCAACTATTATTAGTTTTCCCAGTGTGCAGTGGGGATGTTAAGAATCACAGCCAGTTCACTGATTAAATTTTAAACGGCTACTATTTTTGTGACAGTACACCAGAGACATCACCACTTTGGGGCATGTTTTAATTTTCTTTTGTATTCAGGCTTTCCCTACAAGTCACCCGGAGCAGATTAATTAAGCCAGAAGAGCTTTTTAAAACCCTAATTAGCCGGAACTCACTTTAACATGCCTGAGGACCATCTAGGTAGCTAGTTCTCTGTAGCAGATTGGTACAAGCAAATGCTGTGCTCGGTCTTGCCCCGAAGGCTCACAGTCCAGGCTAGGGGATGTGGAGTCACCGCTCATCCTTGCATACCTTGTAGGAATCCTTGCAAAGGTATCTCATGCACCACTCAACTGCAAAGACAACTGCCAGGTTTGGAGTCCCTAAGAAGTCCCCAATATTGAGTGTCACCTTAGGACTGGGGCCCCTGGAAGTGTGCCAAGCTTTTTGGAGGTTAGTTTCTGTGGTGATGGTTTGAAAGAAAATGGCCTCCATAGTCTCACTATTAGGAGGTGTGGCCTTGCTCCAGTAAGTGTGGCTTTGTTGGAGGAAGCATATCATTGGATGCTGGTTTTGAGGTATCAGAAGCTCAAGCCAGACCTAGTGGTTCACTGTCCCTTTCTTCTGCCTTCATCAAGATGTAGAACTCTCGGCTCCTTCTGTAGCACCATGTCTGCCTGGGTGCCACCATGCTTTCCACCATGATGATAATGGACGAAAGCTCTGAACTGTAAGCCAGTCCCAAGTAAATGTTTTCCTTAAGAGTTGCCATGGTCTCTGGGCACTGGTGGAGCACACTTTTAAACCCAACACTCAGGAGGCAGAGGCAGGTGGATTCTTGAATTCAAGGCCAGACTGGTCTATAGAGCAAGCTCTAGGACAGCCAGAGAGCTACACAGAGAAACTCTGTCCCAAACCCCAAAAAATAAACCAAACAACAATGAAAAAGGGGTTGCCGTGGTCATGATGTGTCTTATTTAGGATTTTACTGCTGTGAAGAGACACCGTGACCACAGCAACACTTATAAGGACGACATTTAATAGGAGCTGGCTTACAGGTTCAGAGGTTTAGTTCATTATCATGGTAGGAAGCACGGCAGTGTGCAGGCAGACATGGTGCTGGAGAAGGAGTTGAGAATTCTCCATCTTGATCTGCAGGCAGCAGAAGAGGACTAGATCAGCACTGGGCATAGCTTGAGCACAGGAGATCTCAAAGCTCGTCCCCCACAAGGACACACTTCCTCCCACAAGGCCACACCTCCTAATAGTGCCACTCCCTATGGATCAAGCATTCAAAATAGGCCGTACCTATTCCAATTACCACGTGGTGTTTAATCACAGCAATAAAACCCTAACTCAGATAGTTTCTGAATGAGTAAATTAAACAAGGGGAAGAGGATATGCCTACTCCTAAAATATGGAGACGGTTTCATTGTAGAGATAAGGGAGAAAACAGACAAAGGGAAGAGTCCAGGCATGAGCCGGCTATGAGAGGGAGATGAGGGAGAGCAAGAGAAAAGCCACCCACCAAGAGGTGGCCCAGGCCAAGGGGCCAAGAGGAGGTATAGCTAAAATGTCTGGATTACATAGGGAAAACTGGTGGGGGAAGGGCAGCTCAGCCCCTGGACTGGAGATTTCAGGGGAGGGGAGGAGCATGCCAGCCATACCATGTAACAGATAGGACTGAAGGCTGCTAGGAGAACCTGGTGGCCAGATTAGCTTTAATATGTAAAATAGGCACCACAGTTTGGGTTTGAGACCTAACAGTTTCAACAGGAGCAAACCCCCTTCACCCACAAGTTCTGTGATGGCTTGAATATGCTTGGTTCAGGGAGTGGCACTATTAGGAGGTGTGGCCTTGTTGGAGGAAGTGTGTCACGGCCAGCGTGGGCAATGAGACCCTTCTAACCATGTGGGAGCCAGTCTTCTCCTAGTGGCCTTCAGATGAAGATGTAGAACTCTCAGCTCCTCATTCACTATGCCTGCCTGGACCATGCCGCGCCTTCCTTCTGAACCTGTAAGCCACCCCCAATTAAACGTTGTCTTTATGAGCGTGGCCTGGGTCACGGTGTCTCTTCACAGCAATGCAAATCCTATCTAAGACAAGTTCCCAGTGAGTAGTTCTCCCAGACAGAAAAGCTCGGGTTTTCACAGACTCTGGAAGGAGAGAAAGCGTCTTATTTGGACTTCTGATTCCTTTGCAAGAGTCTGTTTTCTCTCTGCTGCATTTAAATGCTGTTTGGAAACAAATGCGGGTGCGAATATGAGACACTGGCTGCCACAGCGCAACACAACAGCATAATTAGTACCTGGCATTCTGAGCAAGGGAAGGCTAGACACTCTAATTCTAGAGAGCCGAGAATGGAAGAACAGTGAAACTCATCGGGGAGAAACATTCTGGGGACAAAAAGGAGTCCCCTCGGTGTCCTTCCTCTTTCAGGCAGTATCAATGATCATTTACTTTAAAAGACTCCAGTTGCATTGCTGACCTATAGACTACACGTTGTCCTCTGGATTGCCCTGCGGTGGGTGATGACTGCTTTCTGGCTGTCTTGAGAAGAAATGGAAAGTTTAAATCATGGGCTTAAGTACCAGAACCAAGAATTAAACTGCAGTGACAAAGCAGTCCCTTGGCTGTGGCTCCAAAGGTCACTTTACAGAACAAATGTTGCAATAACAAAGCGGGCTGGCTTGCTCTTTCCTTAGGGAGATTTAGCCTCATCTCTGCTCCAGTCACTTCCTTGCAAGGTCTAGTGTGTCCCTGGGAGAAGGGGACCCCCAAATCAGTACAGCAGTGAACTGCTTGAGCTGGGACAATCTGAGAGACCAGATCCCATCTCTACAGGGGAATGACTGGGTTTGCAGTCACCACGGTACTCCAGAAGAAGGGAGGGGACTGAAACGCAGATGTCTGGACACCCCCTGCTGCTTCTTTTGTTATGCAACAAGGCTTCTAAGCCCGATGTGCCTAGAAATAGGCACTCAGAAGGTATTTACAGAGCAGGTCCTCTAAATATTCAGATGGGAGAGTGCTGGGCGGACCTGGGATGGGGGACAGTTGTGTGCAGTGCAGTGGTGTATGAAACCAATACACTTCCTTCCCCGCTAAGGGTGCAGCTCAGTGGGGGAGGCTGACATTGAGTAACACAAACCCAGAAAGCTGTGGGAACAGTGGCAAGTATGCTTAGAACTAGGGGGCTTGGTCCAATCCAGGGGCTGAAGAGGGCTTTGGTGAGAAGGTGAGTAATTCAGAGAAGACTGGGAAGGTCTGGGGTAGGGGTAAGGGCATAGGGGTGTACGGGAGACTGGCACAGAATATTCCAGCGATAGGGGATGGCAAATAAATAAATAAATAAATAAATAAATAAATAAATAAGGAGGAGAGGGACGGTGGAGGACAAAGTTTATTGTAGATAAAAGGGAGAGCACGTCCAGACATCTGGTAGAGTCCAGAGTGGACTTGACTCTGAGCCATGTGAGGAGAGGGAGCGAGTGCCTGGAAAAAGGAAGAGCCAGGAAGAGGAAAGGGTAGACAAAAAGGGTGGGTGAGCAAAGTGGCTGGATTATACACAGAAGGCAGGTGGGAGAAGGGCAGCCCAGCCCTAGGCTGGAGAAGTTTAGGGTAGAGAGTGTGGTATGCTAGCCATATGCTCTAACAGGTAGGGACTGAAGGATGCTGGGAGAACCTGGTGGCCAGGTCTGCTTTGATATGTTAAATAGGTACTTCAGTTAGCCACTTGTCCCGGGTTTGAGACCTAACAGTTTGATGTATGTAAGACCTGGAGGGAGGGAGGTTGGGGCAATGTGGGGGTGGGTGGGTGTCAGCACACTGCATCAGAGCTTTTGCTTTGATCTTAAGGGCAGAGGACACCTGAAGCAGAGATCTTCGATACTCAGGTTTGCATTTGGACATTTGGCTGTCTGCTGTGGCTCACATTGTCCAGATCCTTGGGGTCAGCACAGTAGAGCCAGAACTGGATGTATGCCTGGGAGAAGATGCTAAGAACTGCATCCAGCTCAGGTGCCCACCTACAGATGAATGGGCAATGAGAATGTGGTAGACATAAATGAAATTGTGATTTTTTTGTAGGAAAATGGATTATGTTAAGTAAAATAAGCCAAAATCAGAATGTGTGTGTTTGTTTGTGTGTAGTCAGGGGAGGAAGAAATCTTTTGAGACAGGGTAGCCCTGGCTATCCTGGAACTCTCTCTGTAGAGAAGGCTGCCTTGAACTCAGAGATCCACCTGCCTCCCAAGTGCTGAGTTTAAAAGCGTGCACCACTACCAGCTAGAGGAAGGTATATTGAGGGCACAGAACACATGTAATGAACATAGAATGGAAAAGTACTTAGCAGAGGAAGGAAACTCTAGAGAGTTTCCCCAGCCCTGGCCTCTGTGCCCACGCCTTGGAACCCTCTCCTTTTGGCTTTGGCTTCTGTTGATTCTGCTTTTTATACTTTTTCTGTATCTGCTTTTATTCTGCTCTGTTTTTTTTCCTGTATCCTCCATTTCTTTTATTATTTTTAGCAATATATTTTTGCTGTATTTATGTACACACACACCATACATGTATGTGCACACATGCGTACACTATAATATAGTATGTGGAAGTCAGAGGACAACTGGGGAATTGGCTCACTTCCCTCACCACGTGGATGTGAGGGATTGAACTCAGATAGTCATCAGGCTTGGTGGCACATTAGCTGCTAAGCACGTCTTTCATCTGTGGTTTCTGTTTTCCAGGTTCTCTCACCGACTTCTACTTCCTTCTGCCTCCCAGGTCTCTCTTCTATGCCTTCCCTCCCTCCCCTTCCCCCTCTCTCCTCTCCCCTCCTCTCCCCTCCCCTCCTTTTCTCCCCTTTGGCCCGTTTTTTCTTCCCCTCTCCTGCTTGTCTGTTGTGCCTGCACTGACTTCTGCCTTCTTTCTGCTGACACCATTCCCTCTCTCACCCTCCACTCCCCTCTTCTTCCTTCTCCAGCTTCTTCCTCATTTCTGCTTCTCTCTGTGCATCTGTTTTCACTATCTGCTTCTGGGCTGGATGTTCTGCTTCAGCTTCTGAGATCTCTGCTGCTCTATGTCCACCTTCGAGTTTCTGCCTGTTTCAAGCTGCTTAGGTCCTCCTCTTCCTCCTTTTCTTCCTCCCTCTTCTCTCCCTCCCCTCTTCTTCCTCCTCCTTTTTCTTTTTCTTCTCTTTCCCTTCTTATTCAGTTTTGAATGTATGATGCAGACATCTGCCTCTGTTCACTTTTTCCAGGGCTTTTCAGTTTTCTTGTAAAATTACTTGTTATTACTGTATATGGGGGGCATGACATACACAGGACATGTGTGCTGAAGCATGTATGTGGAAGCCAGGACAACATTGTACAGCTGGGTCTCTGTTTTCATCTTCCTTTGCGTTCCAGGGATCAAATTCAGGTTGTCAGGCTTGAGCAGCAAGCCCTTCAACCCATTAAGCCTATTTGCCTGCCCTAGGACTATTTTTTTTCTTTTCTTTTTTAATATATTGTAGCCAAGAGTGGTGCTTGCCTTTAATCCCAGCACTTAGAAGGCAGACACAGGCAGATCTCTGTGAGTTCAATGCCAGCTTGGTTTAGAAATCAAGTTTTAAGCTGGGCAGTGGTGGCTCACGCCTTTAATCCCAGCACTTGGGAGGCAGAGGCAGGCGGATTTCTGAGTTCGAGAGTTCGAGGCTAGCCTGGTCTACAGAGTGAGTTCCAGGACAGCCAGGGCTATACAGAGAAACCCTGTCTCGAAAAACCAAAAAAAAAAAAAAAAAAAAAAAAAAGAAATCAAGTTTTAGGCCAGCTGGGGCTACACAGATGTAGAGGAATTTTAATCCAGCAACATGGCTGCTCTGGCAAGGGATCACATCCAAAGACCTTCTAGATCTGTGTGATCTGTCTGGAATGATACATGCCACACACCTTTAATCCCAAACAATGTAGGTAAGGTTAGTTTGTAGAAGAAAACACCTGTGTTTGAAAGTGATGTTTAATTGAGGGGCAGACAAAGTGAAGAATCAGAGAAAGATTTGGCAGAAGAAGTTAGAGATAGGATACATCCATGCCTTAGTCAGAGTTTCTATTTCTTCACAAAACATCATAATTAAGAAGCAAATTGGGGAGGAAAGGGTTTATTCAGCTTACACTTCCCCACTGTTCATCACCAAAGGCAGTCAGGGCTGGAACTCACACAGGGTAGGAACCTGGAGGCAGGAGCTGATGCAGAGGCCATGGAGGGATGCTGCTTACTGGATTGCTTCCCCTGGCTTGCTCAGCTTGCTTTCTTATAAAACCCAGGACTATCAGCCCAGGGATGGCACCACACACAATGGGCCCTTGACTACTAATTAAGAAAATGCCTTACAGCTGGATCTCATGGAGGCATTTTCTTAAGGGAAGCTCCTTTCTCTGTGATAACTCCAGCTTGTATCAAGTTAACACACAAAACCAGCCAATACAACCCAACTCCCAGGAGAAGAGAAAAGAAAGAGAGGCTACTTAAGAGAACAGGGCACACAACACACACACACACACACACACACACATACACGAGGGGGCAGTTTTACGGAGTCAGTTTTACAGAGACAAGTTGCAGGTAAAGACAGAAGAAGCCAGAGACTGAGAAGGAGCCAGAAGTTTAGAACATATTGCTAAAGTTAGTAGTGTTAGGGCCAGCAGAGCAATTCAGTCAAAAGCCAAGAGAAGCTGGATTGAATTATTCAGCCTGGAGAGGATTTGGGGCCAAAACAGCTGAGTTGAAGCAGCCTGTTAGAGTTCAGAAAGAGTTAGGAAGGGTGAGCTTATTCAGCAATAAGCCTCCAACATGACAATTACATCTGGTGAATAAAAGTTACTTTTACACTCTTAGCTGTCTCGAAAAACAAAGAAAAAAAAAGAATATGTCTTACTTAGAGTTGCTGTGATAAATATCATGATCAAGAAGCAACTTGGACAAGAAAGGATTTATTTCACAAATACTTTCATCCTCCAAGAAAGTCAGAGCAGCAATCTGGAGCAGGAACCTGGAGGCAGGAACTGATGCAGAGGCCACGGAGGATGCTGCTTAAGGGCTTGCTCTCACCGTTTGCTTAGCTTCCTTTCCTATGGTACCCAGGACCACGCCCAGGGATGGTACTGCCCGCAGTGATCTGAGCCCTCCCCTATTAATCATAATCAATAAAATGCACCACAGGCCAATCTAGTAGGGACGTTTTTAATCAATTGATATTTTCTTTTCCCAAATGACTCTAGTTTGTGTCAGGCTGATAAAGAAACCAGACAGCACAGAGTAGTTATAGATTCTCAGTAAAATGGAATATTCATACAGCGTCAGTAGGATCTTTCTTATTTCTTTTCCAGTGCTTAAGAAACTGTTTGATATTCATTATCTCACATGTTCCAGGAATACTCCTGACACCAGCAAGATAGGGACACCTACCTGGGGAAAGCCCCTCAGATCCCCGTCAGAAAAGACCAGTGCCACTCAGGAAAGTGTTTGTGTAGAGAGGAATGGGTGTGGAGTTTGGAATAGATCACCCATCCCTCCTACTCAGGCCCTGGCACAAGAGAAATACCCAGATCTGGTTCCCCAAGATTTTCCTTCCTTAGGGAAAATTCTAGTGACCCCCAAGTCAAGAAAACCAATAAATCCAGGAACTCTTAAAGACAAAACAAACAAAACAAACAAACAAACAAACAAACAAAAAACTTCAGTTGATAGGTTGAGGGTGCCACAAGGCCACCAGGAAGTTGGAATCTTCCGGGCTCCAGCTTCTGAGTGGATGCCATTTTGGTAGCCAGCCAGGCGCTGGGAAGGGAAACACCAGGTCTTCTGAGCCAGCGTTGACAGGCCCTTGCCAGGCGGCTGGGCTCCAGTCAGTCGCACAGGCCCCTGGAGAATGGAAATGGAACTTGCCCAAATTCAGTCTTGTCTCTGGAGAGAAGATAAGGGTGGTGCCTAGGGAAGCTGACTATAACTCAAACCCAGGAGGGCCGGCTCATCTGCTTTTCCTGCCCATTCTACCCCCAGGGTCCACATTTGCCCCTAGCATTTACCAGGAGCTCAATCCATGTGCAAAGACACTTTCCCAGCAGGGCCCAGGCCAGAGATTTCTCTGCTTTCTAAGGTTTCCCATTCCAAAGCGTTTGTAGGACTCTAGGTTCTTTCTGATGAAGTGTCTGCTGTCATGAGGGAACCAGGGACTGTTGTTGAGAATAACAGGCTAAAGGAGGCCCAGAGGATAAAGTGGCTGGAAGTGGCTCTGAAAGGGACTGGCTTGGGGCTTTCGGGAAGGAAGGAGAGAATACCCATGAGGGCTGCTAGTCGTGGGAAGAGATCTAGGCTTCCCTGGGGAAGGATTCTCTTGGAAGTGTCCCATTTGGCCTTTCATCAAACTTCTGGGCCTCTTTATGATGGGTTTTCCTAGATGGCTTGCACCTCTATGATGAAAAACTACTCCTTTTGGGTTAGTTCCTCGAAGAACATCCTCAGGAGGTGTGACTGGCAAGGGCTGATAACCTGAGGTGCCAAAGGCCTGGAAAGGGCTGCCCCACACTTGGTTCTGTCTAGACTTGCATCTAATGCCACACTGCCAGGTATGCCCCTTGGCTTTGCAGGGTGGAGACAGTGGGAAGCCTCTTGTAGAGTAGTGGAAGGTGTCTACACTGGACCTGAACCTGGAAGTCTATAAGTAGGCGCTAAGGGTGGAAAAAACCCAGGTCAGATTGAAAGAGGTCTCCCCCCACCTTTGGTATCTTCTCCTACCTTCTTCTTCATTTTCTTCTCTTTCCTTCCCTTCCTGGGCTGGCTAGTGTTATGTCAACTTGACACAGGCTGGAGTCATTTAGAAAGAGCAAATGTTAATTGAGAAAGTGCCCCCACTAGACTGGACTGTGGGCAAGCCTGTGGTACACTTTCTTGATTAATAACTGATGTGGGTGGCCCAGGTCACCCTGGGTGGTAGTGTCACCCTTGACAGGTGGTCCTGGGTGCTGTTAGAAAGTGGGCTAGACAAGCCATGTGAGTAAGACACTAGGCAGCCATACCCTCTGCTTCAGCTCCTGCCTCCAGGTTTCTGTCTTGAGTTCCAGCCACTTCCATGCTGGACTGTGACGTGGCAGTGTAAGCAAAAGAAAGCCTTCCCTCAAGGTGCTTTTGCTCGTGGTGTTTTATCATAGCAATGGAAACCCTGACTAAGATGCTTCCCTTTCCTTCTCTAACTTCCGGTAGGAAGGACTGAGTTAAACACGCCCTGATCGCAGTCCGAGAAGATCTTTGGTCCTGATACAGCTCCCAGTCATATTTTGCTCAAATACTATTCTCAACTCCCCACATACAGGTAAGGTGTTCTGTGTACATCTGAGTGGTTTGCTTGCATTCTTGTACAAAGGGTACCGGTACGTGCTTGTTTAGGATGCATGGTGCTGTAATGTATGCAAATGATGTGAGGTTTTATGCATCTCGTTCAGTCTGCTTTTTTTATTTGGCAGTGAAGTTTTAAGATTGTTTCATATTGCCAACTGTGCATCTAGACAATGTACCCTAATTGCTACATCCCTACTGTACCCAAAGAAACGCACCCACTGTAGTTTGCTTGTCCACTTCACTGACTGGGATTCCTATACTTCCCACAAGCAGTTCTTTAGGTCCGGTGGCGGCCTTGCTGGGTTGAAACACGCTCATCAGCTGCAACCTGAGAGCGGTCTAGCTAGAGTTGAGTGGCTGTGACTTCACATCCTTGGGAACTGGCTAGGCTGCTTATAGGCCGCCTCTGCTCTTTTAACTCCATCGCGGTGACTCATGGGACAAATGTTAGGTCTCAGTCCTGGCTTTGAAAGGACAATGCATTCTTTATGCATAATAGGAAGTTTAGGAAGCAAACCCAGGATGTCTGTGTTCCTGCAGGTCCTCTGTGAGTAAACAGTCTTTGGTTTGATGTGGAGACAGGGTTGGAGGAGGGGTAGCTTACACACAGCAATTTAGAAGGAATGGAAAGAAATTAGAAGGAAAAGCCTAGAGCTGGTGGCCCTTGCCAGTAATTTCTGCATTTGAGGTTGAGGGATGCTGGGAGTGGAGCCAGAAAGACTGGGTTTGAGGTCAGCCTGTGAACTCGTCTAAAAAAAAAAAAAGGTGTTTTTGTTTATGTGTGTGCGTGTGTGTGTGTGTGTGTGTATGTGTGTGTGTGTGTATGTGTGTGTGTGTATGTGTGTGTGTGTGTATGTGTGTATGTGTGTGTGTATGGACTCTTGTGTTCTTGCTGTGGTTTGGAGATATGCTGCTTCTGGGTCTAGTGGCAGCTTCTGTTAGGAAAGCACACAGACACAAACTGCTGTTCTTTTTTTTAATGGAATTGGCTTTTGGGCGTGCCCCATGAATTTTAGGTGAATTTGTTTTCAGTTCAGAGAGGCTTCGGCTTTCATCGGGGCCCACAGCACTTCCCCCTCAGCAGTGTGACTGTGCGTCTGTGTGGGTAAAGAAGATGTTGCAAGGGACTCGGCAGACATCCAGTTTTCATCTTGGCAGCCTCCAGTCAAGTTGCAATGGTGGTACCTGACTGCAGGCTGGCCCTGGCTACACTGGGAACCTTGTTGGGGGGGGGCCCTGAGTGAGGCAGTTACGAAATTCCAGGCATTTCCTCCTCCAACATCAGGATCCAAGGGCTAAGTCTAGAAGGCCGGTTGAAGTGCTTGGTGTCCCAGGCACCCAAAAGTCCCTCCTAGTCTCTTCCTGCTCTTGCTCAGACAACCCTGCCGGTGAAAGGATGGGCGTGAGACCCACAGTCTCCTCCACGAAAGCTCAGCTTATTGCACAGTGACATCAGCATGAGGTATCCCAGAGCTGTGGGGCCATCTCAGTCACCCCTGAACTTCAGCGTCCATAGCAATTCTAACAATGAAGGGGACAGGAGACTGAGCGATAACCAATCAAACAACAGGAGTTAGGGAATGACACGGACAGAGCAGAAGTGGTTTCCTCAGGCTCCACACTGACAAATCATTTGCTGACAAATGATTTGCTGTGAGGGCTAACTCCAAGCAGCCTTCGTTAGAAGCATATAAATACTTCCCAGTGGAAATCGGGACGCTTGGTCCTTGTGGCGGCCGAGGGCTACAGAACTAACGCTTGAGCATTTGCTCTGAGCCAGGCTTTGTTTGGGGGTCCCTCAGATACCTCAATATTTAATCCTCACCTCAGTCCTTAGAAGTTAATCTCCTCCAGGCAGAAAAGCCTTAAGGTTCAAAGAGGTGAACTGCTTTATACAAAGCAAGCAGGCCGGCTTCCAGCTCCTGCGAGGCCTCCTGGTGGAGCAGGGGCTTCAGACTTGAAGCCCACATTTTTAGTTCAGTCCCACCCTTTCCAGGGCACATCTACAGGATCTTGGTGTTTTTCTGAAAAGCTCAACTGCTTTTCAACTCTCTGTCCAGAGAAAATTAAGAGTGTGTCATAAAATCAAATAGAATTTGAAGTAGAAATCACAACGGGGCATTTTGTGATGAAGTTGATGTTTAAATACTGACAATGCATTTGTGTTAACAGAAATGACAGTGGAAACATAAAAAAAAAGTCAATCCATTGACAGATGTCGAGGGTGGACAAAAAGACCATAACACAGTGAGTTGGTGTATTTAGGTTTCAAAAGACTCAAGAGTATAGCTTTACCTTCATGGTTGACTTGGAAAGAAGTAGAAATTAGAACCAATCACGCCAAACACACTGAGTTCTTTCAGGCTGTGCGAGGGGCAGCAGGCTGTGCAAGGCCTTCTAACCAACAAAGCTTTCCTCCCTCTCTGTGATGACCTACATGATGCCAGTCCTTCAGAGCTCCCTCAGGTTTCTCCCAGCTCCAGAATTTTGATTTAACTGGTCTTTTTATTCTCCCTGACAAGATCAGCCCATTCTTCCTCCGGCCTTCGTACAACTCCAGACTCAATCTCAGGGGAGCCTGTCTCCACCATCCTACCAAAGAGCCTCCGTTGGGGCTGGGGAGCAGCACAGAGGTAAAGCATTTGCCTGCCATGCATGGGCCCTGGATTTGATTTATAGCACCCCTAAAATAAGATAAATGAGCAATCTCTTTCTACCACTCACCTTGATCATTCCATTCACCCACTCTATCCCATAATTCTAACTTATCTATGACAAGCTCTCTCTGTATTTGGTTGTTAAGGACTGTGTTTACTGCTCTCTCTTCCTTTGGACTGAATGCTTAATGAGAGCAAGCCTCTGCTTCCCCAGGGCCTACACTGGGCGGTACATTAACAAACACACATGTGTCTAATGCAGAATGAACAGCTGAGAGAGGGACTAGCCAGCTCAACCACAGGCAGTACAGGAGACCAGAAGCTGAACTCAGGCACGAAAAGACTCTTCTCAGAGTCCTTGCCTTGCATCTGAGAGAGCCATTGATCTTCCAAAGCCTTTAACCTAATTTGAACCCCAGCTTCCTCTTCAGGAGCTGTGAGGGATGGGTGTGGAAACTCAGTGGACTCCGCCTAACCTGTATCATACCAGGGCCTGGCATCTCCTGGCAGAATGTAGAGGAATATCTTCGTGTGACTGATTCATGTATATTTCCATTTGTCAAGCAACTCCTGAGCTCCTAGGGGCTGGGGTCTATATAAGGAGGCAGGGGTTTAATCCATGGTTTAATTGGGGAATAATTAGTAAGCAATGCTAACCAGCCCTTTATTAGTCATGGTTCTGATGAGCTGAAATGAAGCAAGGCTGAACACAAAAATTCCATTAACTCTAGCCATGTCTACACCCAATGTCAGCCGTGTCTACACCTCATGTCAGCCATGTCGTTTGATGCTTTGAAACAAGCTGCCTTTCATTTATTGCAGTCATTAATTTTGTAGGGAGAGGCAAAGAACTTGCATCTCTAAGCGTGCGAGCAATAACCACAGTTGAAGACAACCTATTGGTTGGTTTATATTTTCAGAGTCAGGGGTTCTCAGCATAATAAAAATTTCATAAAGGGCAAAAGAGAAGTAGCCCAGGCTAGAACAATAAAGAAGACCCCAGGTTTCATGCTTGCTAAGAGACTTTTTATTTTATTGTATTTTTTATCTCACCTGTTATTCAAACACAATTGGGAATCCTGTGAATGGTATAGTCTGGATAACCAGGACATCAGTAGAAACAGGACACCATCTACTGGGGCTGGAGAGATGGCTCAGTGATGGCTCTTCCAGAGGTCCTGAGTTCAAATCCCAGCAACCACATGGTGGCTCACAACCATCCGTAATGAGATTGGATGCCCTATTCTGGTGTGTCTGAAGACAGCGACAGTGTACTCATAAATAAAATAAATAAATAAATCTTAAAAAAAATAAAAAAGAATACTAAGAACAGTATTTTTTTTTTTTTTAAAAAAAAAAAAGAACACCATCTACTTAGGCCGAGCTGAGTAAAGCGTATTCTGACCTGCCTGCAGTAGTGCACTGGGAGTGGCTGGTGGAGGGCTTTGAATGGCAGGGGTGTGTCAACAACAGACACTGTGTAAGATAGTTTTTTAAAGCTTGCTGCACAATGAGCCCATCTTGCATATTTTCTATGCAACTGACACTGATATCTCTCCCATGGACTGAGTGTATAGGTCCATTTCTTCTCATCTTGAACACAGACAGAGTTTTGTGACTGCCTTGATGAATGGGGTATGGAAGAAGTGATATGTGTGTCTTAGTTAGGGTTCTTATTGCTGAGAAGAAACACCATGATCATGGTAACTCTTATAAAGGAAAACATTTAACTGGGACTGGCTTCCAGTGCAGGAGTTTAGTTCATTATCATCATGGCGGGAAGCATGGTGGCACACAGGTAGACATGGTGCTAGAGAGGTAGCTGAGAGTTCTAGATCCAGATAGACAGGAAGAGAGAGCTACACTGGGCCTGGCTTTAGCTTCTGAAATCTGAAAGCCCACCATCAGTGACATACCTCCTCCAACGAGGCCACGCCTCTTAATAATATCCCTCCCTATGGACCCATGGGGACAATCTTCATTCGAATCACCACAATGTGTGTCCCAAGGGTAGAACAAGCATTTTCCTCTTTTGCAATATTTCCCCTTAGAACCCAGTCCCTATTCTGTGAAGAAGCCCGGACTGGCCCATGCTGAGAGAGCTCATGGGCATGCCAGGCATAGATGTTCTGGCAATAAGCTATCTGAAGACCCTACTCATAGCCAACATGAGTCACTAGACATAAGCAAAGATAACCCTAGATATTTCTAGTTTCCAGTCTTCATGCCTTCCTAGATGATGCGTAGGCGTGGGAGAGCAGAGGCAAATCACCTATACTAAGCTGTTTAAATACTCAACTCTGAGAACTTACAAAGCAATAGTTGTTTCATGCCACCCCCAAATGGCTGTTACCTGGTGTCACTCTCTAGTGCATCAAGAGAAGTTGGAATAAGCTCTTCATCAGGGAGCCCTTTGAAGAATGGAACAGAGATGCACTTCATGACAGGAAGCCCAAGGTACAAGGCACTCACAGCGGCTTGTCTCCGTGGTAGTTGTGTGAGGCCACAGGCAAGCCAGAGACCACCTTTTCTCCTGCTACTTCCTCTGATGTTCCTACCAAAGTCACCCCCTTAAGCTCCAGTAGCACTGTTCATAATGCTACCACAGTCTGTGACGTGGACTATATATAGTCTAGTAGATCTTCACTTACATGACTCATGATGATCGCTGGCGATCAACTGGGTCTTTATTTGGGATGTTGCAGAGAAACCTCCCCAAAGCCCCTGTGTATCTCTCCATATTAGCAATAAGAAATAAAGAAACAATAAATTAGAAATGTACTATACGTCCAAAAACCAAAGGGAGAATATATGTCAGAGGAGAAAGAAGCTATAACAGTGTGTGTGTGTATCCAGGGTTGGGAGGGATGGAGGGAGGGGGAGGGGGAGGAGAGTGGGCATTAAAACTGGATAACTTTCCCTTCTGCTTCAGCTTCAGACATTTGGAATTTCTTCATAGCATGGTCCTGGCAGCAGGCTCTCCGCAAAGTCATCCTGCCAGAAGGTTGGCATTTGGGACCAAGGTGACCAGAGATGGGGCTGTAAGGCCGAATGAGCATCTGCTGTGGTGATCACCACACTGGCTCGAGTTGTATGTAGACCCAGCCAGGTCCTTTGAGGTCATTGTATAACTAGGATGGCGATCAGAAATGAGGGGTCTAGACCTCACAGCTGTGGCTGGTAAGAGACAGAGTGTTAGGGGACAATCTCTTCTCAGCCCTACCCTTCAGGTCAGTGACTGTTTGATGGTCTGCCACATGCTGCTGCTGACTAGAGCCAAATGTGTAAAACCCAGCCCTGACAGGAGCTCCTTGCTCATATCTTGGAAATTTACCAGCCTCTCTTTGGCTCTCTTTGCGTGCCTGTGAAAATCAGGTACATTTGAGAACATCTAGTGTTGTGGACACATGGGCATTCAGAGCATTTTGGCTGAGACTGAATGTTCCTAGCTATTCTTCTTGGATCCTGACTTAATGGGCCCCAATTTCTCAGCGGCGTGAGAAATAGGTTAGTAGAGAAGCAGGAAGCTGGGGAGTGACTAGAACAGCATGAGCAAGCCTGGCTGGACACACTGAAAAAAAAAAATCCAACAAACGAGCTTCCAGAGTTATAGGATGAATAAGCCAAAGGGACCTGAATTCTGAGGGTGTTTGAACATTTGCAGAGGCTGGAAACACTTCACTGGGGAGGGATTAGTGACCATAGCTAATTTATAAAGCAGAAATTCCTTTCTATGGTCTGTTTGTTCTTGGTTGCTCAAATCACCTGATCTCCCTCTGAGGTAGCTTCTTCCTTCTGTGACGAGCGTCTTGCCAGGGGAACAGGATGAACCACAGGCAGAGGAGGTTCCCCTTGGGAAGAAGGGGAGGGGTATTCTGTGGGATGGAGGAGTCAGGGTGGTGTGTTCGAGACCCATGGCCAGAGAGGGGACTTCCAGCCTTGACTTTGTCACAGTTTCAGTAACATGATGATTAGCCTGAGCAGTCCTGGTCCCTTGACACCGAGATGCTCTTGCTATCCACTGCTTTCCTTTCTGCTTCCCTGGCTTCTACTGGTACCCTCTGCCCTAATTCCTTTCTGACTTCTCCTCCATTCTCCTAAAACAATACCCACCACAGGCCACCCCTGCCCCACCCCTGCCCCACCCCTGACTGTAGCTCACCTTTCCTCTCCCTAAACACATTTCCCCACAGCACTGACAGCCCTCCTATCTCCTGAGCACCCCAGGTATTATACAGAGGATCTTCCCTGCAGCCCTTAAAAGCCTGGCCTCTTGATAGCCTTACCAGGCTCTGCTGAAAAGCGATATCCTCTGCCCACCCGGAAACAACCGAAACAGGTATCCAGGGTCTCTTCAAAGCTGACCTGGGGTGTAGAATATGCACCCAGGGCTAAGAACAAACCTCCTCATCTGTGTGTCTGGGTAGATTCAAATAGCTGCCTCCTCTTCCTCCTATGAAAACAAACACGCAGTCCTTCAGATTGTTTTGTTTTTCTGTTTTTCTGTTTTGTTTTAAGACAGGATTTCTTTGTGTAGCCCTGGCTGTCTTCTCTGTAGACCAGGCTGGCTTCAAATTCCTGCCATCTGCCTGCCTCTGCTTCCCAAGGGCTGGGATTAAAGATGTGAACCACCAATGCTGGGCTCAGTTGCTGTTCTTAATGATACTGCTGGGTTATTGGGCTTCTGTTTCTGCTCTTCTCTCTTTTTTCCCATGTCTTCCTTTTTTTTCTTCTTTCCTTATTTATTTTAATTTTTTGGATGGGGAAGGTCTCACTATGTAGCCCAGGCTGCCCTTGAACATGGACAGGCTGCCTTGGCCTCCTAAGTAGCTCCATATTTTTTTTTTTTAAATTGGACCCCAAATCCCATGGGCGGAGTCAGTGATACCTCTCAGTCTTTCAGGTCACATTCTTATAGTGGTCCCTGAAAGACATTCTTTTTTGAATACCAAAGGTAATTTTCCTGTACCTCAAGCCTGTGCTGTTCTCTATATAAAGATGACTGTTTTCACTTATTTGCATTTATCTTTTTGACTGTGTTCTCATAAAGCATATTCAATTTGTGTACACGCATCTTAATGCAAATGACTTGTCCCTGGATTCTTCACACCCCAGATGCATGTTGTCACACACCTAGTCTCCCTGATTTCTCCCCTGAACTCGCCATGTCTCTTTCTGAGAGACAAGGCAGTTTTCGACCAGGGAAGCAAACTTTTCCGGGCTGAAGTATGTGGTAGCATGTGTCTTTCCCATCCCTTTGTCCCACAACAGGAAGTTTGACCGAGATAAAGATGTGAAGAAATCCCTTGCTTCCCACACATCTCAGTGCCTTGATGCAGAACAGAGCGACTCAGCCTTCTGGAGCCAGAGTTCCAAGTCAGCTCAGAGGCATCTGGCAAACAATTATCCCCAGCCCCACCTTCTCCCAATTGGCCCTGATTTTACAGTCACTAATAGGGCTGCTCAAGTTCCTAGTCACCTGGGAAAGGAAACAGCAGAAGCATTCTCTACGCAGTGACTTAAGCCTCAAAGCAAAGCCTAGATGATGATGCAGAAACTAGCCATGCCAAGATCTCATTGGAGGTTCTTGATCTGTGCTCATCACCCAATAGGGGGATGCCTGTTCCAACATGGTGTCTAATGTCTGCCGTGCAGACTGAAGATGAACAGCTCTGCAGGGGACCTTTTTGGATGACTAGCTCCTGGCAGGTGCCTCTTATGGGGAGGAATGGACTGTGTGACCTGGTCCTCTGTCCCAGGCTCTGTGGTGCCAATGGTGAGTCTGGCGCTGAGACGATATTAGGATGTTCCAGTCATTTGACCACACCTTGAAAGAATTTCGTTTTTCTGTCCTCTCCGGCAGGTTCTGGCTGCAGCAGACTTCCCTACCCCAGTCTGAGGCTTTGGGATCCAGCTGGGTCAGTTTCCCAGCCAGCAGAGGGAACAGTTATGACCGAGCTCCAAATACTGAATGATCTTTGGTCTTTTTAAGTAGAATCAAATACAAACTGTTTTTTTGTCTTGCTTGTCCTTTTTTTTTTTTCCTTTCCTTCTTGTCTTGAGAGTGATGTATGTTAGGTCTAGTGCAGTGCTCTCATTTCATAGAACTGAAACTGGGGTCAGATGGACATGCTCAGGGTGACTGAGCAACCAGAGGGGCACCCAGGAGAATCCAGAGCCCTGAGCCCCAGGCTATTCATCCACTGTGACAGCTAAAGCTAAAAGTTCGAGCCC